TCTATCTATCTATCTATCTATCTATCTATCTCTATTTATACTCCATCCATCCATCCATCCATCCATCCATCCATCCATCCATCCAATCTCTCTCTCTCTCTCTCTCTCTCCCTCCCATTATCCATCATCCATCATCCATCTATCTTGGTTGAAAGCAGCTACAGGAAATATTTCCTGGGTGATTTGTGGATCCTTAAGGCTAAGGAAATCCGAGCGGTGATTTAACCCCCAGCTCCACTATTCACGATTCCCCGTGGTGAAGCCTACTGATATTTAAATGTTAAAAGCCGATCTTTTGCATCAGTTCTTTCCTGCTGGTCCCCGTGCCTCCGTTTGCAGTGCTCCGCGGTGACCCTTTCGCAACCCTGAGTCACAGGCTGACTGCCGAAAAGGAAGGGCGATTTTCTGGTTTCCTAATCTGCTTTTGCAGTGTCACAGAAGTGACTCCTAATAGGAGGGTGCTACCCGAAGAATTTCTTGCAACACAGGAAGTTCTCTGGACTTACGGGTGGAGCAATTTCAGAGCCACCAATCTTGCCCCCCACACCCCGAAGAGAAACGAGAAAGGGCATGGACCCCTAGATTTCTCGAAGTAACCGAGTTGGAAGGGACCTTGGAGGTCATCTAGTCCAACCTCAAGTTTTTTAAAAAACAAAACAAAACAAAAACAAGGAATCACTTTTCCTTGGTGCCACCCTACCTAATCTACCTACCTATGGGCCTTGGTGGCGCAGCAGACTTAAATAGCACATGCTGCCTGCAATTACTGCGAGTTCGAATCTCACCAGGCTCAAGGTTGACTCAGCCTTCCATCCTTCTGAGGTAGGTAAAATGAAGACCCGGATTGTGGGGGAAATAAACTGACTTTGTATAAAAAAAAAGAATCACCGCTTAGGCGGGGCCCGAAAACCCTACTAAGCAGGTATATACAAAAAGTATGAAGGCTATTGCTTAACGCATTGTAAGCCGCCCTGAGTCTCTGGAGAAGGGCGGCATATATAAACCGAACCAATAAATAAATAAATAAATAAATAAATAAATAAATAAATAATCGATTCGGTGCTTTTTCACAAGCTCTGGGAGTAGGCAGTGGTTTTGCTAGTGATTTTTTTTTTTTTTAGGGTGGACTTCAAACTTCTCAGCAGTGATGTCAAGCAAAATAGGGAAGTAGCCGAAACCTGCGGTTTCCTGTCTACTGTGATGGAGGGGGAAAAAAAAAATAACATGTATTTTGGAGACGTTTGATTTGCACGCGTAGGGAAGGGCACGGAAACCGGAAACAAGGAGGTGGAAAAAGAGGGGCATAATCTCCATGAATATATAGCCTTGCCAGCTCTTGTTATTTATTTAAAGGGTTCTCGCTATTTAATGAGTTGGATTACTAAATTATTATTATTCCCAAGGGGGGGAAACTAACCAAGTTTCTTTCTTTTCTTCATTTATTGCAACAGCTCTGTGACCCTATCAGATTTTATTAATCCCAGGAAATAAATGAGGCTAATCGTGAAAGGGACTTTTTAAATGGGTAATTCAACTGTCTATAAATGCTACCCAGGGTTCCTGGCAAAGTCGAACTGGTGGGAAGAGCGGCCCAACGCTCCAACTTTAGATATAAATAATTTTTTTACTGTTTTGATGTTTTTTTAAAAAAAATTGTTTTACGCTTTTGAGAAGTGTAAGCTGCCCCGAGTCACTGAGTGGAGTTGGGTAGGCATAGAAATAAATAAATGTAATTTATTCCATGTAGGCATCAGAATGACCTCTGGGTATCTCGTCATGTGATGAGAGCATGAAATACAATTCCAAAAGAAAAAAAGAAGAAAAAAAGAAGAAGAAAAAAGAGAGATAGCCAACAAAGACAAATAAGATAAGGGTAAGAGAAAGGTAAGAGAAAGGTGGGGAATCTGACCATCAATACACCAAAAACATAGGTCAACAAAATTCACAATGGACTCATGAGGCCTACTGCACGGTTTCATTTCATTTTGTTTTCATTCATTTATTTTTTTAAAAATAGGTTTTTCTTTGCAATTCTGCCCAGAGACCTGTTGTTTATTTATTTGTATTACAACTACTTTTCTCCTCTCTCCTCTCCTCTTTTCCTCTCGTCTCCCTTCCTTTCTTCTCCTCTCCCATCTCTTCCTCTCCTCTCCTCTCCTCTCCTCTCCTCTCCTCTCCTCTCCTCTCCTCTCCCTTCTCTTCCTCTCTCCCTTCTCTTCCTCTCCTCTCCCTTCTCTTCCTCTCCTCTCTCTCCTCTCCTTCCTCTCCCCCTCCTCTCCCTTCTCTTCCTTTCCTCTCCCATCTCTTCCTCTCCTCCCCTTCTCTTCCTCTCCTCCTCTCCTCTCCTCTCCTCTTCCCTCTCCCTTCTCTTCCCTCTCTCTTCTCTTCCTCTCCTCTCCCTTCTCTTCCTCTCCTCTCCTTTCTTTTCCTCTCCTCTCCTTCCTCTCCCTCTCCTCTCCCTTCTCTTCCTTTCCTCTCCCATCTCTTCCTCTCCTCCCCTTCTCTTCCTCTCCTCCTCTCCTCTCCTCTCCTCTTCCCTCTCCCTTCTCTTCCCTCTCTCTTCTCTTCCTCTCCTCTCCCTTCTCTTCCTCTCCTCTCCTATCTCTCCTCTTCTTTCTCTTCCTTTCCTCTCCTCTCCTCTCCCTTCTCTTCCTCTCCTCTTTCTCTTTCTCTTCCTCTCCTCTCCCTTCTTTTCCTCTCCTTTCTCTTCCTCTCCTCTCCTCTCCCTTCTCTTCCCTCTCCCTTCTCTTCCCTCTCCTCTCCCTTCTCTTCCTCCTCCCTTCTCTTCCTCTCTCCTTTCTCTTCCTCTCCTCTCCTTCCCCTCCCTCTCCTCTCCTCTCCCTTCTCTTCCTTTCCTCTCCCATCTCTTCCTCTCCTCCCCCTTCTCTTCCTCTCCTCCCTTCTCTTCCTCTCCTCTCCCCTTTCTTCCTCTCTGCTTTCTTCCTCTCCTCTCCCTTCTCTTCGTCTCCTCTCCCATCTTTTCCTCTCCTCTCCTCTCCTCTCCTCTCCTCTCTCTTCTCTTCCTCTCCTCCCTTCTCTTCCTCTCCTCTCCTCTCAGATGAGCTAATTCCACTTTATTGCAAGGCTACATTAACAGAATCTAAGTCTGAAAGGACAAATCTCCCCCTCTCTCTTTTGCAACCTGAGAAGTTAGCGTCCGGTGCCTTTTTCTCCACCCATTATTCAATTGCAGAAGGAAATATTGAAGAAATTAGATAGGTAGAGTTTGACTCAGTATGGAAAAATGAAAGAGAAACAGCAAGAGGTCCAGAGCTGAATATCTCTTGGCTTCAAGGTCAGTTCAGAGCCACAGGACGGTCCCTTCGCTATTCAAACTTGTTTAATGTTTGCAGATGGGGCTAACAACTTTTCAGAGTAGTGTTAAGTTACTACAAGCTACTTGGAAAGTGCTAAGCGTGTGTTTTGACTCTGGGGAGTTTATGCAAGTCTTTGGAGTTCCTTTTTTTATTATTATTCCTCCCCCCCTTTTTTTTTGTTAATGGAATTCCTGTTTTTTATGGTTGACAGTAGATGTCCATGCAGCTATTAAAAGCTGTTCACAGCTTTTTCTAAAGCTTTTTTATTCTTGGTCTCTCTATTTGTTTCCTCGGGAAATAAAATAGATCTGAGACGCCCGTTCAGGCCATTAGTAATCGTATCGACTGATTTCCAGCTTTGTTTTCATTTTTTTTTATAGGATTGAAAATTCAGAGAAATTTCACAGGACACAAAGTGAACAAAGGCAAGTAGGAAGATTCAATGCCAAGATCTGTTTCAAAGACGTTTCTGCCGAATCTTTACCTTGACTGGGGTTATCGGATCAAATTGGCGTGTCCGATAGGCAAGGCCGAACTGATCAAATGCCTCCAAATTGATTTGAGAAAATCTGGATGCGTCCTGCCAATTTCATCCCTCGCCCCACTCCCCCTTCTTTAAAAAAAACGGATTCCAAATGGATTCAGTTGGATAGTCTGGTTTGAATAAAATCGAGCCAATTTTCCTACACCTAGAAAGTCTCATCAATTGAATGGACTATTTTGAATCAGATTCCTCAGGGCTCTTTGCATTCTCCCTTGGAAACAATAGGAGGCTTTTCCTTTGTGGCTTTCCATTATGTTCAGCATTTTAAAAGGAAGATCTTAAATTACTAGGAGTTTTATTTCGCTGTTCTTCTTGGAGGGTGTAGGAGTTTGCTCGCATCTGTTCGATAAGGAGGAGTCATCAGTGGTCGGGGAAAGAAATGAGTAAAAAGTGATTTAAAAAGAGAAAAATGCTGAGGAAGGAAGGGAGGGAGGGAGGGAGAAAAAAGAGAGAGAGAGAAAGAAAGAAAGAAAGAAAGAAAGAAAGAAAGAAAGAAAGAAAGAAAGAGGGAGGGGGGAGGGAGGGGAAGGGAAGGGAAGGGAAAGGAGATTAGGAAGGAAGGGAGAAAGAAAGAGGGGAAGGGAAGGTACAGGAGATAAGGAAGGGTGGAAGGAAGGAAGGAAGGAGGGAAAAGGGAGGGAAGGGAGATTAGGAAGGAAGGAAGGAAGGAAGGAAGGAAAGAAAGAGAGAGAGAGAGAGAAAGAAAGAAATAAGGAGGGAGGGAGGAAGGAACGGGAAGGGAAGGGAAGGGAAAGGAGATTAGGAAGGAAAGAAGGGAGGAAGAAAGAAAGCGAAGGAAAGAAAGGGAAGGAGGGACAGGGTGGGAACAGGAGATAAGGAAGGAAGGAAAGAGGGAAAAGGGAGGGAAGGGAAAGGAGTTTAGGAAGGAAGGAAAGAAAAAGAAAGAGAGAGAGAAAGAGAGAGAGAAAGAAAGAAGGAGGGAGGGAGGGAGGAAGGGGAAGGTAAGGGAAGGGAAAGGAGATTAGGAAGGAAGGAAGGCAGAAAGAAAAAGAAAGAGAAAGAAAGAAAGAGAAAGAAAGAAAGAAAGAGGGGAAGGGAAGGGAACAGGAGTTTAGGAAGGAAGGAAAGATAGAAAGAAAAGAGAAAGAAAGAGAAAGAAAGAAAGAGAAAGAAAGAAAGAAAGAAAGAGAAAGAAAGGAACTCTATGATTACATTTCACTGACCCAAAATGAGAAACCACATTCTAGAAAGCTAGTTCCTCTTTGCCCTTCTTTCACACACCGATCTATGGTTCAGCAGGATATGCCGTTGAGAACATTATGAGCAAGCTGGTTGAATTTGCGTGCACAGCTCTCCGGAGCACTTTCTTTTTCCCTTGGCTTTCTTCTTTCAGACCGCGCTTCTTCCTTTCCATGGATTTCGCTGGATTTGGCCCAAGGAAGACTATCGGTCTGCCTTGAGGTTCCTCACTTTCTTGATCAATCTCCATTTTTAAGTCTTTTTTCACAACCAATGGACCGATTCTGAAGATGCCCGGCAAGGGTGGGATCTTCTTACCAGCATGTATCACCTTCTCCTTGGCTATGGTTTTTGAAGTGAACCTGAAAACCAGAAGCTTCAGTCCCTGTTTGGAGGTAAGTGACGGCCTTAGGGGACAAATACATGGCAACATCTTAGACCATTTTGAAACAGCCACCTGTTTTCTCAAGAGCCCTCTCCTCATTGCTTCTTGATACCTCGTGCCTCCAGAAGTTGTGGGTACTCCATCCCTGGAGATTTTTAAGAAGAGATGGGACAACCATTTGTCTGAAGTGGTGTGGGGTCTCCTGACTTGAGCAGAAGGTTGGAGTAGAAGACTTCCAAGGCCCCTTCCAATTCTGTTCTTCTGGTGTCCGATAATCCCAGATCGATTAATCGGTGGAATGGCTTGGCCTCCAGAAGTTGTGGGTGCTCCATCAGTGGTGGTTTTTTTAGAAGAGATCAGACAACTATTTGTCTGAAGTGGTGTGGGGTCTCCTGACTTGAGCAGAAGGTTGGAGTAGAAGACTTCCAAGGCCCCTTCCAATTCTGTTCTTCTAGTGTCCGATAATCCCAGATCGATTAATCGGTGGCTTCCAGAAGTTGTGGGTGCTCCATCAGTGGTGGTTTTTTTAGAAGAGATGGGACAACCATTTGTCTGAAGTGGTGTGGGGTCTCCTGACTTGAGCAGAAGGTTGGAGTAGAAGACTTCCAAGGCCCCTTCCAATTCTGTTCTTCCGGTGTCCGATAATCCCAGATCGATTAATCGGTGGCCTCCAGAAGTTGTGGGTGCTCCATCAGTGGTGGTTTTTTTAGAAGAGATGGGACAACCATTTGTCTGAAGTGGTGTGGGGTCTCCTGACTTGAGCAGAAGATTCGAGTAGAAGACTTCCAAGGCCCCTTCCAATTCTGTTCTTCCGGTGTCCGATAATCCCAGATCGATTAATCGGTGGCCTCCAGAAGTTATGGGTGCTCCATCACTGGAGATTTATAACAAGAGATTGGACAACTCCTTGTTGGAAATAATATAGGGCCGTGATGGTGAACCTTTTTGGCACCGAGTGCCCAAACTGGAACACGGGTGCATGTGTCTGCATGTGGGCACGGCGGAGGACCAAAACCCCCCAAAACAGCTGGCTGGTGCACACATGCCTGTTTTGGGGCATTTTGGGGGCCATTTTCAGGCTGTTTTTTGGGCCGTTTTCAGGTCATTTATGGGCTGTTTTTTGGGCCGTTTTCCAGTGCTCCAGTGCCCGCGAAGAGCAGCTGGCAATGGTGCATGTGCCCACAGAGAGCTCTGCATGCCACCTCTGGCACGCTTGCCATAGGTTTGCCACCACGGGTATAGGGTTTCCTGCTTGAACAGGGGGTTGGACTAGAAGACCTCCAAGGTCCCTTCTCTGTTATTCTGTTATTCTCGTCTGATGAACGGGTAGGGTCTAAACGTTTCTCCTTTTGAAACAAATCTGGGGTTACTTTTGTTTGCCTAGTTAAGAAATGAAAATCCTGGGGAAGAAAGGAAGGGGAAGTAGAAAAGGAGTAGGAGAGGAGGAAAGAAGAAAGTAGGAAGGATAAAAGAAGGGAGGGAGAAGGAAGAGAAGGAGAAGAAAGATTGCTGTACAATAAAAAAAAGATGAAATGGAAGAAAGGCAACCCCGAACATGTGTAAATGTATTAGGAGAAAGAATGAATTATTAAAAAGTAAAAAAAAAGAATAAATATGAGTAAAAATAAAGAAATTAGAATTTGAGGATAAACTCACGAAAGAAATACAAGAAAAAGAAGAAACCAACTATTACTTAGTATGGCAAAGATGGTACGACTGGCTGGAGGAAAGGAAAATAAAACAGAACTAGGAACATGAAAAAAAGAAAGGAAATAGCTAGACAGGAATTGAGTACCAAATAAAAAAACAATAAATCAAAAAGGGAATTCAAGATATCGTTATATATGTAAGGTGTAGAGATATATATAGAGGAATATAGTTTAACGATACGACTTGTAAAATACAAGTCGTAAGACTTGATATATGTTTACTTCTTGTGTATATTGTATTGTCATATTTATGTTTGTTTTCCTTTTTTAAAATCAAAATAAAAAACTTAAAAAAAAAAGAATTTGAGGGTGAATGAAGACGTGGTTCATATAAATAAACATAGAAATGTTAAGATAGGATTAAAAAAAACATGGAAAAAAGATGATTTTGGCAGAAATTGTAACAAAGTAAAATGTATTTGGATATGATAAGTTGTATAAGATATGATATGGCCAATACTCTGTTCGTAAAATATGCGTGTGAATGGGGAGGGGGGAGAGAAAATAAATAAATAAAACTTGATTCAAAAAAAAAGAAGAAGAAGAAAGAAATGAAAATCCTATCCTTTTAAAATCATGCGTTTTATTATTATTATTTTTAAAAAAGGGGGGGGGCGTGATTTAGAAAGTAATAGGACTGTTTAAAGATCAAAATCACCGATCTAGTAGATTGTAAGGACCAATAAAAGGAGAATATTTGCAGCTCAGGGTTGAAATGAGGAGTCCTTGGTGCTCTCTGAACTTGATTGTTTTCTTGTGGACATTTCATTACCCAACTAGATAACGTCATCACTGCTACCTGTGTTTTCCCAAAAATAAGACCTGTCTTATTTTTTTTGAGCCCCGAAATAAGCCTTATTGGCCTTATTTTCGGGGAGGGCTTATTATTTTGGGGCGTGTGGAGCAAGATGGGGCTCCTCTTGCCATCTTATCTGGTTTCCAGCTCTGCGTTTAAATATTTTCGGGGAGGGCTTATTTTCGGGGGGAGTGTTCTGCCCCAGCTACGGACCCCAAAGCACATAGCACACACAAAGTCTGTACAAACCTTAGTTTACTAAATTAAACAGATTTTTTTTTCCAAAAAAAGGCCGTTAATTAACTTTCTTAACAGCCTACAAGAATCCAAAGAATACATAATCTTAATCTCACTAGGGTTGGCAGAAAGCCCAGAAGCAATTTGCAGAGAACTAAAATCCAGACGCGAAGGAGAGTGAACGAAGTTGTTCCCTACAAATTGCTTCAGTCGGCGTTCCTCCTTAAATAGGCTAAGGGAGTGGTCAATTAGCCCCAAGCCTTACTCTCGAGGAGACCTCCTCCTGAGGAGCCACTCCTGCCTTTGGGCAGCTCTGTGCGCCCGTGCATCGAGAAGAGGCTCCTCCTCTTCATCCTTTTCACTTATGGGAGCTTCTGGAGGTTCTGAAGGCTCTGGCTGAATCCCTGCCTCTGACACCACATCTTCTCCAGCCTCCTCATTGTCCGACTGCACAGGCACCACCACACCAGCCTCCTTGCTGTCCGAATCAGCCACCAGCTGCACAGGCCACGTACGGGCCAAAAAGGGAGGCATATTTTAGCACATGCGCTCAAAAGCCCGATTGGGCTTATTATCAGGGGATGTCTTATTTTCAGGGAAACAGGATAGAAGGGAGAGGATTCTGCTTTGTGTTTATATACACAGCTCCTTCTAGGAGACTGATGATGTTACATAGTTTGGGTAATAAAACGTCTGCAAGCTCAGAGAGCACCAAGCACCCCACAGATTATAAGGAAGGAATACTTTCTATTTATGGTCTCTTCTACTTCTAGGTAGTTCCAGGTCACTCATACAGATGCATGGAGCTGAACCTCACTAGGATCCCTTCGGGTATCCCAAACACCACCCAGACCTTGGACCTCAGTTTCAACCCGCTGAAAATCCTGCACGCCAATTATTTCTCAGCAGTGTTTGCACTGAGATTTCTGGACCTCACTAGGTAAGGCGCTTCAACCGAAGAGATGCGAAGGTGGGATAGGATGCAACCATTTTCTGGATGTTATTTCCTTCTGTAAAACCAATGACTCAAGTTTCCTGGGTCCCTGACAGATGGCAATCGGTTGTGTGAACAGGAAAATCTGTTAAGTGTATAGTCTATAGAGATTATCTAATTCTCTGAAATGCTGGAAGTGTAAGATTAGTTATGGAACATTCTATCACCAATGGTGGACATGCCCGGTGGCGAAAATTTTTTTGGAAGAAAATTAAAAATTGGATCGAAGAAATAATCCAGAATTCAATAGAGGGAAAACCTGAACAGTTTCTATTAGGGATGTCAGTAGAAAATTATACTAAAGAAACACAGTATCTCATACTACATATACTGACAGCAGCACGTATTATATATGTGCAATACTGGAAGAAAGAAGAATTACCACCAGATAAGGATATAATTAAAAAGATTTTGGAATGCGCAGAACTGGATAAACTAACTAAAGAAATTCAGGGGAAAGAGGAAACCAAATGCTATAAAGTGTGGAATAATTGGTATGAAAGGCTGAAAAATAAGGAAATAAATTAAAGGAATGAGGAAGGGAAAGAGAAAAATGTGATAGATCAATTAACATGTTAGTAGAAATGAAATACAATAGGAGAAAAAGGCTGAATAAGTTAACATTATAATATCTGTAAATATTAATATATAGTAAGAAATGGATCACTGTTAAGTAGCTGAAAAAGAAACTAAGATTCTTGTATATGTTGTATGTGTCAAGTTTCCGAAAGATGCCCTAATTAATTCATGATCCATGATCCAAACTTCAAAGGAAATATAGTCATTTATTAGGAGCAACATTCCGGCAATACTCGGATGCAGTTAGGACTGATCCTACGTAGATTTACGTTCCCCTATGACCCTGTCTCTCCCCTCCTTTCTGGCCATGTCATAAATCACATTCTCCAATGAACCATTTTGGCTGGCTGTGAAACCTAACACCCTCCTTCTGATTGTGGTCAGGAAGAATGTATGGAATTCATTTCAGTTCTCCCTCCCTCCTGCTCATGGCAACTTGAAAGCTTTGCAAGTTGACAGTATGTCTATGTATGTCTTTTTAACTATGTTTAAAATAAAAAACTTAACAAAAAAAAAGAGATTATCCAGGTCATGGTTGTCCCAAAGGTGCTTTTTTTCAAGAGGCAACTGGACTTTCTAGTTTTTCTTTGAAGACGTTTCGCATCTCATCCAAGAAGCTTTTTCAGCTCTGACTTGTGTCCTCAGGATCACCTAAGTAGTGCAAAGTGAGGACACAGCTAAACCTCCAAGTGCCCTCAATGACTCTCTAAAAGGATGCAAATGACCAGCTGTCTGCAAGGAGGATAAATCCTTCCATTCCCCACCATCATCCAGTCAGAGCTGAAGAAGCTTCTTGGATGAGAAGTGAAACGTCTTCAAAGAAAAAACAACAACAACAAGAAAGTCCAGCTGCTTCTTGAGAAAAAACATCTTTGGGACAGTTAAGTGTATAAGTAACGTAATTTAGGCAAGTTATTATTTTTTTAACCCAGTTAGGCTGGGCATTTTTGCTCCAAGTGCAATTCTACTTTTCCTAAACTCCACCTCTGATCTTCATTGGAATAGAAGCTGGTTGCATTGTAGGGTTTTTTTTTTTTTTTTGCATTTTGACTTTAGCAGGGATGGTATTTTTTAGAACGTACCATTCCTCAGTATAGGGGTGTTTTTTGTGTGAAAAATAAATAAGTCCTTCATATCTTTCAACCTTTTAAAATTAATCACTTTGTCTTCTTAAACGCTGTACTTGTACACTTGTCTTAAAAGAGTTTTTGTTTGTTAACTTTTTTTTTTGTTTTAAGTTCTCATTGCATTGTTCTCATTTCCCCTTCCCTGTTTTAAGAGTTTAAATTTTGTGCTGAATGTGGAAGTTTGCGAGTTCGCTATCTTATGAAAAGACAATTCTTTAGTTGGCTACCTTTATCCTGATTCAAAGCAGATTCCAGAAGCGGGGAAAATGCTAAATGGGTATAAAAACGTCAGGATGGGAAAGTTGTGCAAAATTTTGAATTGATTTCGAATCTAAGTGAATATTTAGATCCGGTAGTCAAAGGCAGTCGATCTACGAAATTCTATTGGAGCTTTTCCAAGTCAACCCACTGTCTTTGGAGATGGTTTGAACTGCAAATCTGAATTGGATATTGCATCCTTACGGTTCTTGACTGTCAATCAAATAGATTTTTTTTTTAAAAAATATTTATAACACAACACAATATGTAACAAACGCAAAACACAAAACGCATAATATAAATTCCTTTTTTACAACTGTTTCGTAACGGTCATCTTCTAATATTTACATCTTCCCCATTTCCCATTATACTGTACTTTTCCTTCTTGTCCCTTTTTCTCTTATTTACATTATAATTCCTAACAATCATGATATTAATTTTGTACATTTTATACCTTGCCCTATAAACATTTTACATTTATAACTTCTCCCCTATTTATATAAATATAAGATAGAATGGAATGGAATGGAATGGAATAGAATGGAATGGAATAGACTAGATTAGATTAGACTAGATTAGACTAGACTAGAATAAGGGATAGAATAGAATAGAATAGAATAGAATAGAATAGAATAGAATAGAATAAGGGATAGAATAGAATAGAATAGAATAGAATAGAATAGAATAGAATAGAATAGAATAGAATAGAATAGAATAGAATAAGGGATAGAATGGAATGGAATGGAATGGAATGGAATAGAATAGAATAGAATAGAATAGAATAGAATAGAATAGAAGAGAAGAGAAGAGAAGAGAAGAGAAGAGAAGAGAAGAGAAGAGAAGAGAAGAGAAGAGAATAGAATTCTTTATTGGCCAAGTGTGATTGGACACACAAGGAATTTGTCTTTGGTGTATATGCTCTCAGTGTACATAATGAGAATAAAATACATTCATCAAGAATAAAAAGATACAACACTTAGTGATAATCAAGGTTACTAATAAGCTATCAAATCGTACTAGGAAACGAGTAAAAACAATTTAAATAGAAAGATACAAGCAACATGGTTATAGTCATAAGTGGGGAGAGATTAGATACTAGTAAGGAAGAGAAGAAGAATAGTAATATAGTCTTAGTAAAGTATTTGACAGTGTTGTGGGAATTAGTTGTTAAGCAGAGTGATGGCGTTCGGGAAAAAAACTGTCCTTGTATCTAGTTGTTTTGGTGTGCAGTGCCCTATAGTGTCCTTTTGAGGGTAGAAGTTGAAACAATTTATGTCCAGGATGCGAGGGGTCTGTAAATATTTTCACAGCCCACTTTTTGACTCGTGCAGTATACAGGTCCTTAATGGAAGGCAGGTTGGTAGCCATTGTTTTTTCTGCAGTTCTAACTATCCGTTGAAGTCCGTGTCTGTCTTGTTGGATTGCAGAACCAAACCAGACAGTTATGGAGGTGCAGATGACAGACTCAATCATTCCTCTGTAGAACTGGATCAGTAGCTCTTTGGGCAGTTTGAGCTTTCTGAGTTGGCACAGAAATCTTTATCAAGGTCATATAGCATAAAATTCGACTGATGGGAGCACCTATGAACTTTCACCTTCTTTTCTCACCTGTTCCAATAGGTGTCATCTCTGGAAGATCGAAGACAATGCCTTTACGGGACTCAACAGCCTTTCGGTCTTGGTCCTGACCGGTAATCCTCTCCAGATTTTGGGACCGAGGGCTTTCCACAATTTACCTTCTTTGCAAAAGTTCGTTGCCGTCGAAGCCAATCTGTTCTCCTTGGCCGCGTTGCCCATCGGGCACCTGACGTCGCTCCAAGAGTTGAACCTGAGACACAACCACATTGACTCCTTGAAGCTCCCTGGTTATTTCTCCCACCTAATCTTTCTCCAGCACCTGAGCTTCCAATTAAACGAGATCTCCTCCGTCTCGGTCGGAGATCTAGATGCTTTAGCAACCCGGAACTTGACGTTGGTGCTATCGAGAAACGAAATAAAATCTATCGAACGGAACGCCTTCGCGGGACTCCACCTTCAGCAACTGGTTTTGAGAGGCTGCTTTGAGGATAGCGCCGTTATGCAAGCCAGCATCCGGAATATGTCCGGTTTGCATGTTAACAGTTTATTGTTAGGAGAATACAGAGATATCACCAGAGTAGGAACCGTTGACAAAACCCTTTTAGATGTCCTGTGCGACCTGCATTTACAGGAGTTCACTATCATTGAAATGGACTTCCTAGAAAGTACAAGCACCCTCTCGGCTTGCCTCAACAATATCTCCATGGTGCGGGTGATCCATACTTATGTCAGTGAAGACTTAAAGTATCCAAACAACTCCAATATTTCCCAACTTGAGTTCAAGAACTGCGGACTGGATGCGGTACCTGCTAAGCATCTCTCTTCCTTAACGAAGCTAAGAGTGCTTCGCATCACTCGCAATAAAGATCTCAGATACTTCAAGCAGTATTTCAGAGGCCTCCATAACTTGGAGACCTTGGACCTCAGCGTTAACAGGCTGGTCACTCACCTGTCCTGGGTCGACCTCCTGGAGGGAGCTCCCAATCTGAAGCATTTGAACCTCAGCTTCAACACGGAAATCAAGTTAGAAATTGAATGCAGCGGGCCTGGCAAGCTGGAATATTTGGATTTCCAACGCACCGCCCTCGTCTCGCCTGGGATCGTTCCTTCGTTTTTCTGTCTCCACCATCTGCTTTATCTTGATATTTCCTACACGGGTACCACGGTTATAGCTCAGTGTTCATTCTGTGGATTGCACAGCCTGCGGGTGCTCAAAATGGCAGGCAACGGCTTTGCCAACAATCAGCTGGTTGACAATTTCCGGAATCTCACCAAGCTGCACTTTTTAGACATTTCCAATTGCCAACTCAAACATATCTCTCTCAGCAGTTTAACCGCCCTCCGTGAACTCCGGGTGTTGAACATTAGCCATAATAAACTGCTAGGTCTCCATCCAGAGACCTACGTCCACACTCCTCTTCTCACCACCCTGGATTTTCACAACAACCAATTGGCTGCTTTGACGGAGGAAGATCTGAAGAACTTGCCTGCTAGCCTGAAACATCTGGACCTCTCTGAGAATCTTTTCGATTGCTCTTGCGATCACGCGGGTTTCTTGCGGTGGGTGAAAAACTCCTCGTCCCTCCTTCGAAATGTCCCAAAGATGCTCTGCTACAGCCCCTCGGACTTAAAAAATGTGCAAGTGATGGATTTTGCCTTGGCCTCCTGCGCGATCAACACAACCACAGTGGCCGTTTCGGTGACCGTCGTCCTGGTTCTGATCGTCATCCTGATTCTGTGTTATAAATATTATTTCTACCTCTACTACGTCATGGTGCTCTTCATGGGAAACAGGTTCTCGGATGAGAAGGAAACCGTCTACGATGCGTTTGTGATCTTCTCCAGTAAGGACCAGGAATGGGTGAAACAAGAACTGCAACAACCTCTGGAAGAGGAATTGCCGTACTTCCGTCTCTGTCTTTTCTACCGGGATTTCATCCCTGGAGTCTCCATCATCACCAACATCATCAAAGAAGGTTTTCAGACAAGCCGAAAAGTCATCGCTGTGGTCTCGGATCACTTCCTGGAAAGCCGTTGGTGTAACTTCGAACTGGAGGTGGCTCAATCTTGGCAGTTGGTGGAGAGCAAAGCCAGCCTCGTCTTAGTTGTCTTACAAGGGGTGGACAAAGCAGCCTTACACCGCAAACTGGGGTTGTTCCGTTATCTACGGAGAAACACCTTCTTGACTTGGAAAGACCGGGATTTCAGCCGTCATGTCTTCTTAAGACAGTTGAGGTCGGCCTTGCTTGAAGGCAAAATGTGGACTGAAGATGAACTCAGGCTAATGTCGAAAAATGGGTGAGGTCTACCTTTGATGCCCAACTGAGCCGGTCAATCTAATTGAAGGAAGCCTTCAAGAATAGGTGGTCTCGCCTTTAGAATTTCCATTTGGGACCTAATATCCCAATGTCTATGGAGATTCTCAGCCATCCGAGTCATGGTTGTCACAAAAGGAGGAGGCGGGCCGCTCCCGGTTCGCACCAGTTCAGGCGAACCGGTAGTTAAGATTCTGTGCGGTTTGGCGAACTGGCAAATTCCACCACTGGTTAGCCTTGCCCCCGCTCGTTTTTCAGGCTGTTTTCCAGGCCATTTTTAAGTCGTTTTTCGGGCTGTTTTCCAGGCCATTTTCAAGTTGTTTTTCGGGCTGTTTTTAGGCCATTTTTCAGGCCGTTTTTGGTCTGTAAAACAGCCTGAAAACGGCCCGAAAACAGCCAAAAAACGGTCCAAAAACAGCCTGAAAATACCCCCCCAAAAAAACCCGGCCAAAAACAGGCCGAAAAATGGGAAGGAGCAGGGACAGCCAGTGGTGAGACTAGCTCCAACCGGCTGAATCCTACTTCTGTCTTTGAGGTGAGTGGCCATGAGGCAGGGCTGGGTATGATGAGTGACGTCACCCACCCAGTCACATGACCAACTGGCCACGCCTACCCAGCCAGAGAACCAGTTGTTAAGTTGTTATTCAAGTCCCACCAATGCCGAAAGGTGCTTTTTTTTTTTCAAGAGGCCAATGTACTTTCTGGTTTTTCGTTGAAGCTTCTTGGATGAGGAGCAAAGTGTCTTCAAAGAAAAACCAGAAAGTCCAGTGGCCTCTTGGGGAAAAAAAAAAAACATTTTTGGGACATAATATCCTCAGCCACAGCCATTTCTTTGGGGTGTGCCTGAGCCAACGGGTTGGACTAGAAGACCTCCAAGTTCCCTTGCAACTCTGTTATTCTGGATGAGGAACGTAGAAACTATGTTCCTAGGAGTAAGTGAAGGTGTACCCTGGAATGTCATACTTTTGTCTTTCTGTTCTGGGAATTATTTTCTATATATGCGGTAAAGGAACCGATAAGAATAACAGACACCGCATTTTGACAGAAGCTGTGACCTCCTCCTTTTTTTAAAAAAAAAAAAATGCTGAAAAAATGGAAGTTAATTTGTGTGACACTAATGGAAATGACGGAGGAACGTTCGTAAATAAATGTCTTAATTATTCCACTCTTACTTGGTCCACGCTTAGCAAGATAATGACAGCAAGAGGTGCTGGCATTGGAGGGAAATAATATTTTAAACCTGCAGGCAGGAGGTTTAAAAGCAAAGGTGTACAAGGCAGCTTGGGTTCCTAATGGCCACAGGTCGAGCATTTCTGCAGCCTTTTCTCGGGTGTTTATGTGCTTCTGTGAACATTTGCACCCTTCCTTCTGATGAAGAATCCTCTGTTTCAGACACGCATGAAATGACTGATTTCTAATGCTCCCCATTCACTAATTTTGGAGTAATTTTGGGGAATTGGTAGTTGGGAATGTGCGTTTCTGGGTCATTAGTGATTTTCCTGCATAGACATAGAAATATTGGCTAATTTCTACATTATATTTTTAGGGATGCGGTGGCTCAGTGGCTAAGACGCTGAGTTTGTCCGACTCAGTACCGACTCAGAAGTTGGGGTTAAATCTGTGTAACCTTCTGTCCTTCCAGAGTCTCTTGCAAACACAAAGTGTTCCTGGGTTTTGCTTCTATCACACAAAGGAGCACTAAGGCTTAAACATACGAGGAACGGTTGCAGGAATTGGATATGTCTAGTCTAGTGAAATGGGACGCGGTGGCTCAGTGGCTAAGACGCTGAGCTTGTCAATAGAAAGGCTGGCAGTTCAGTGGTTCGAATCCCTAATGCCATGAAACAGGGTGAGCTCCCGTGACTTGTCCCAGTTTCTGCCAACCTAGCAGTTCGAAAGCACGTAAAAAATGCAAGTAGAAAAATAGGGACCACCTTTGGTGGGAAGGGAAGAGCGTTCCGTGCGCCTATGGCGTTGAGTCATGCCGGCCGCATGACCCCGGAGACAATCTTCGGACAGCGCTGGCTCTTCGGCTTTGAAACGGAGATGAGCACCGCCCCCTAGAGTCGGGAACGACTAGCACGTATGTGCGAGGGGAGCCTTTACCTTTTAAAAATGCTTGATTTACATCAACTCGATTTAAATCATAATTTTTAAAGAGCAACCATCATCTCTATCCCGCAGCGGCTCTTTCTCTGACTTGCTGTTGACTCACCAACCGTCCCATTCACTTTAATGGGACGGCTGGGGATGGGGCAGGGACACAACAAGGTGAGGGGCGTGGCGAGGAGCAGGTGAGTGGATGCCCACTAACAGGCGCTGCTGCCATGATGGATCTGAAACAACAGGCATTCTTTAAAGAGCCTTGATAGTACAGTGGTTTAGTGCACCCTGTCATTAACACAGCTGCCTGCAATTTCTGCTGGTTCGAATCTCTCCAAGGCTCAAGGTTGACTCAGCCTTCCATCCTTTCTAAGGTAGGTGAAATGAGGACCCAGATTGTGGGGGCAATAAGCTGACTTTGTATAAATATACAAAAGGATGAAGGCTATTGCTTAACGCATTGTAAGCCGCCCTGAGTCTCCGGAGAAGGGCGGCATATAAATCAAATTAAAAAAAAAAAATGTAAGGACTCATTCTTGGCTGGCGGTTAGAATCTTTAACATGATTATTTGCCAACAAAATGAAGGTTTCCTATTTAGCTTGCAGAGCTCGGATTCATCGAATGACTTGACCAAAACATGTAAATATTGCAGAATATACAGCCTCCTCATGCTACGTATCTAAGCTCCGTTTCATGCCGAATAAACAAAATTATTTATGTATCTTAAATGGAAAACTATCTTGAGATAGATCTTTTTACTCCAAAACCATTTTTATTAAAATAAATTTGATTTTTTTAAAAAAAAATCCGATTTCAATCAAAAAAAATCCGATTTCAATTAAAAAAACTCCATTTTTTTATTTATTTTTTAAAAAAATCATTTATTTTTATCCACCCTGGCCCACCGCCCTCATTCTGAATCGGAAGACTGTTGTTAAATCGTAGCATATTTCCTTGCTGTTTCCATTTCTCTGGTGTAAAGAGACCCCAAATTGGTTCCATCGTCAAATGGCATCATGAGTTGTTATTGTTCATTAAGGGAAGTGCTCTTTGATTTATCCAATTTAACGAGCTGGCCAATTGGATCGACACTGAGAGGCTTACTGTACGAACACTCTATCTATCTATCTATCTATCTATCTATCTATCTATCTATCTATCTATCTAGTGTTTTTCCTGTAGAAGCACCTGATCTACTCCAATATGGGAGGAAGCATACATATTTCTATCATCTATCTATCATCATCTATCTATCTATCTATCTATCTATCTATCTATCTATCTATCATCTATCTATTTATTTACTTTACTCTCTCTACTCTACTTACTCTACTCTCACTCTACTCTACTCTATTCTCTCTACTCTACTCTCTTTACTCTACTTACTCTACTCTACTCTCTCTACTCTATTTACTCTACTCTCTCTACTCTAACTCTACTGTACTCTACTTTCTCTCCTCTACTTACTCTCCTGTACTCTCTCTCCTCTCCTCTACTTACTCTCCTCTCCTCTACTTTACTTACTCTACTCTACTCTACTCTACTCTATTCTACTCTCTCTACTCTATTTACTCTACTCTCTCTACTCTAACTCTACTGTACTCTACTCTCTCTACTCTAACTCTACTGTACTCTACTCTCTCTCCTCTATTTACTCTCCTGTACTCTCTCCTCTCCTCTACTTACTCTCCTCTCCTCTCCTCTACTTACTCTACTCTACTCTACTCTATTCTACTCTCTCTACTCTATTTACTCTACTCTCTCTACTCTAACTCTACTGTACTCTACTCTCTCTACTCTAACTCTACTGTACTCTACTCTCTCTCCTCTATTTACTCTCCTGTACTCTCTCCTCTCCTCTACTTACTCTCCTCTCCTCTCCTTTACTTACTCTACTCTACTCTACTCTATTCTACTCTCTCTACTCTATTTACTCTACTCTCTCTACTCTAACTCTACTGTACTCTACTCTCTCTCCTCTACTTACTCTCCTGTACTCTCTCTCCTCTCCTCTACTTACTCTCCTCTCCTCTCCTTTACCTACTCTACTCTACTCTATTCTACTCTCTCTACTCTATTTACTCTACTCTCTCTACTCTAACTCTACTGTACTCTACTCTCTCTACTCTAACTCTACTGTACTCTACTCTCTCTACTCTAACTCTACTGTACTCTACTCTCTCTCCTCTATTTACTCTCCTGTACTCTCTCCTCTCCTCTACTTACTCTCCTCTCCTCTCCTTTACTTACTCTCCTCTCCTCTCCTCTCCTCTCCTCTCCTCTCCTCTCCTCTCCTCTACTCTACTCTACTCTACTCTACTCTACTCTCTACTCTACTGCCCTCCCATCCAATCATACATCTCATCTGACCTTGCTTATCCTTTGGACCAACCAGGGTTGGCAATCTGCTGTCATTTGCTCTGATGATGATTACTGTGATTAGTACTGTCATTTATGAGGTGCATTTTAGCCTCTGACCCATGGAAAAGTTGCCACATTACTCAGTCATAATGTTTTCCAGTGGATTAAGCTAGCCAGCTCCAGCTTCTGATTCCTACAGGCGCAGGCAGCTTTCAAGCCAGTGACTGATACTTATAAAAAAAAGCGAGCGGACGCTATATTCTTAATGAGCTCAGGATTGCAGCTCTACGTTTCTGGCACACAGCAACAAAACCAACATTAGAGAGGTCATTTCGCAAGGTCCTCGCCGCTAAGGCTAGTAGAGAAAGCACCAAGCAATGTAAATATTTGTCAGAATTCCATCTGCAGAGTTAAATTTTAAAAAAATGAAAACCTCCTTCTGTATGTCTCTTTGTCTCTAACAAAACACAGCCTAGTATGTGTGTGTCTATCTACATCTATCTATCTATCTATCTATCTATCTATCTATCTATCTATCCATCCATCTGCCCATCCCTCCATCCCTCCATTCGTCCATTTATCTATCTACCGGTATCTATCTGCCCATCCATCCATCCATCCATCCATCCATCTATCTGCCCATCCCTCCCTCCCTCCATCTTATCTATCTGCCCATCCATCCATCCACCCATCTATCTTATCCATCCATCCATCCATCTGTCCATCCATCCATCCGTCCATCCTATCTATCTATCTGCCCATCCATCCATCCATTTATCTATCTACCGGTATCTATCTGCCCATTCTTCCCTCCCTCCCTCCCTCCCTCCATCTTATCTATCTGCCTATCCATCCATCCATCCATCCACCCATCTATCTTATCCATCCATCCATCCATCCATCCATCCATCTGTCTGTCCATCCTATCTATCTATCTGCCCATCCATCCATTTATCTATCTACTGGTATCTATCTGCCCATTCTTCCCTCCCTCCCTCTCTCCCTCCCTCCCTCCCTCCATCATATCTATCTGCCTATCCATCCATCCATCCATCCATCCATTTATCTATCTACCAGTATCTATCTGCCCGCCCGCCCATCCCTCTATCTATCTATCTATTTCTCCTTGTGTCTCTCGGTCTTTGATAAACACAATTCGCAGTGTAAATAAATGTCTGCATCAAATCCCACGATCCTAAGTTGCTTTTTTATTGTTATTATTATTATTATTATCATCATCATCGTTATTATCATCATTATAATAAAGGGTTTCTGGAAACCCACCAGCAGCTGGGGGAATGATAATAAAGAGTTTATGCCGGTTGTGTTGTTGATAGGAGGGGGGGAAAAAAGCTTGCGGAAGGCAGAACTCAGCAAATAGGAGTCCCTTAGGACGTGGTATGGCAGAAGGCAGGATAAAAGATAAGTGGCATGTTCTGCCAGTTAGAGCTGGCCTGTGCCCCACCAGGTGGGTCAGGAGAGAGATAGAGAGTTGGGAAGATACTAAAAGTAATAAAAGGGAGTCCATTCCATATGACTAGTCTGGGGGGTGGGGGGAAGGGCAAGGAGTGATTTGATAGCAGTCTTCCAATATCTAAGGATTTGCCACGAAGAAGATGGAATTGATCTATTTTCCAAAGCTAAGATAGATGAAGAATTGTTGCAGGAACTGGGTATGTCTAGTTTAATGAAAAGAAGGATTTGGGATGACATGATAGCAGCCTTCCAGTATTTGAGGGGCTGCCCCAAAGAAGAAGGAGTCAAGCTATTCTCCAAAGCACCTGAGGGGTAAGACAAGAAGCAACGGATGGAAACTAATCAAGGAGAGAAGCAACCTAGAATTAAGGAGAAATTTCCTGACTGTGAGAACTATTAACCAGTTCAGGCCAGCATGGGAACTTATAAATTCCTTTTAAAACCATTTCCCTGAAGATTGATATGTCAATATTCCAGATGCAAATCACAGTTCATCCATTTGGATGTGCTGGTCTCATTCAAGACCGAGGAAAGATGATGAAGATAGAAAATATAGGTAGCTTTAAGTATTGGTTTTGTCACTTATTTAGAGGGTAAAATATTTTTTTCCAGCTTTCCAGGGGGTGGAAAGAAAGTTGTGTTTTTCTCCAACGGTTTGAGAAAGGCCCCTATATTATTTCAACAGTACTTTAAATTCTTTGGAATGATCAACCTGAACGCCAGAGATTAGTCATAATTCCCCTGTCAATGCTTCTTTCGACTGGCTGACAACTCATACCTTCAAAAATCCATTAAATTCTCATCTGAATACAT